GATGGTAATTCTTATTGGAAAGTTCCCTTTAGTTGCTGTGAGAACTTAAATGTCAGGTATTTGCCTGCCTTTGATTCTAGAGATGCCCATTAGGAGATGACTGTGGCAGACTGGTACTAACTTCGAGGTCTTTTGTCCATGTACTATAGTTGGAAACTCTTCAGAGACTGCTCAGTGTTTTACTAAGCTGTGCATCTTAAGAAAAAAGTTTCAGCTGTTTTTTTTTTTTTCAAAAGAAAGCTGAAAATCTTGCTTGATGCAGTATAGTAGGTGCCTGAAAATAAATATAATATAGCAACTTAATGAAGATTTGATAAATGATTGTGATCTGCACAGCGTTGAAAAACTTTCTGTCCATCTCTGTAGAGGTGAAATCATACATAACACATGATTACACATGCATGCAGATTTCGTGCTCCATAACTCTTCCCTTTTTATTTGCCTTTCTCTAATGGTGTGCATGGAATATGCCTTATTACAGAGTTATTCTGTTATTTTGAATATGTAGAAAAGTGCCTATATGGTAATGCTAGTAAGGCAAATAAGACGAAAATTTGTACATGTTTACCACCAGTGAGCATTTTATATAGCGATGTTAAAAAGAAATCTTATACCTCAAATGTACTTCATCTTTTTACAATCAACTAAGCAGTGATTCATTCCACCATAGCCACTGATGGGAACTTAAAAAAAAAAAAAGGAAAAAAAATAAATTCAAAATATGAAGAGTTTAACTCCTTATTTGCTGTTTCTGCGAATTGTTGGAACACAGGCAAGTTTATTAATTTAATTGGATAGCTTTATTTTAAAAAGGTATGGAAAGTTTACAAAGCAGTATATAATCTTATATCATTAGTTGCATTTGCACTAAACGTGATGTACTTTTGCGATTTATTCTGTAAATAAAATTACACTACAAATACTATTTGTAAAGAATACATTTTAGATAAAGGCACTGGTACTTCACTGCAGCTAGCCCTGCCCAATCAGAATTGTAAGAGGCTTCTATAAGAATATGGAAAGAGTTGCAGGATTTAGAAATCAGTATTAATTGACCTCTTTGAAAACAAATGAAAAAAGGCAGTTCTCTGCAGGCCTCTCATTGTCTGTGTGCAAGTAGCTATGAGATCCTTTCTTGTGAAAGAGATCTTGCTTTTATGGTTTTATAAAACTTGCCCTGTCTCTTGAGCCTGTCCCTCTTTTCAGTCACTGCCACGTATCTGTGTGCTCTTGAGTTCACTTCTTGTTAGTGGATCAGTAATATTTATACTGCTGTGGTGGTCTTTGCAGAAGCAGCCTGTGACTGTAGAATGGAAGTTTTCATAAGCTGAACTGATTTGAAGGGCTGAGAACACAGCAGTCTTCACCACCAGACACAGTTCTCTGAATATCTGTGTCTCTTCAGAGAATCTGGATTTTGACAAGCTAGATCTGAAGGCAGATACTTTGTAGAACTTGTATTGGGAATGAGAATGAGATGGACATTGTTATCCTGTCTGAGAACGTGAACATCTTATTTTGACAAATTTATCTGTGAAAAATGTGATGCACTTTGAAAAAAAAAAATACTTAATTGGGCTGAGCTGGCTTATCTGAAGTTGTGCAGATTCTCTTTAATCAGATTGTCCACCTGTATTTTTGTCAAGTTGTACAGATAATGCTGTATTTGAATTGCCACTGTTCATCTACAGACTTAAAACATGAATCATATTTTTGAGTACCTTGAGTGTGTAGAGTGTAACCATTTGTTCTATAATAGCTTTATGATCCTAATGATAAGTTTTGAAAATTAAAAGTTGGCTCTTCCATGTTAAAATCACAAATTTAAACCCAGTATTTAAAAGTGACAAATATTAAAAATTATCAAGAAAAAATCTGATTTGTAGTTATTTTTAACTTACAGTGCTTTGCATTTTACCTTTTAACCAAGTTTTAGATTGTGGATCAAGTTATATGCAATACACTAGTGTGGGGAGAATGCATAACAGCAAAGTAGTTTGCTTGTATTACTGAGGTTACTTAGACGAAAACTTGAATGCCACATTAGTTTACTATGTTGAAAAGCTCGTTTTGTGCTAGCATGTCAGAGGCACGTTAAAAGATGTTCCTGTACAGTATAGTCTTAATATATAGGACTTCTAAAGTATTTCAGATTCTGTCTTTGCTTGTACAGTGTTAACAACATTGTGGAGATTTCTGTGAGAAGAATAGAGATGCGGCACTGAGGATTGCACAAGCAGAAACTTGTGTCTTTTTCTAAAGTATGAAGAATTTCTAAGAACTGAGATGAGTTTCTGCATAGCAAGCTTTCTTAGTAGTATAAATCGCTGGTGCCTAATGGGTTGAAAACAATCCTGACTTTGTTATGCAGGGATTTCTAATTATTATATTGTGTTGAATAAAGTTGTCGAAAGCTTACAAGTATGCAAGGCTGGAGGAAAACTTTGAAATGCAAAGATGTACCCTAGGCTCAACAGTATCAGGCCTCAGATAAACATACTGCAGTAGAGTCCTGAGGTAAGCACTGCTCTTCAAGAACACAACTATTTTAGCTTGCAAAAAGAAGTCCTCCAAAGTAAGATAAAAAGAACACGATCACATTCTTGGTTCCATAAGTTATGTGTGCGATTTGGAAAATTCTTACTTTCCAGTAAGGAGAGGGTGAGCATTTTTGTAGCTGTCTGTATAGCTAGAGTATAATTTGACCCTAGATAAAATTAATTAGTTAGGTGTATACCTTGCAATTTACTGGTTTGTATTACTAGTAGTATTGCTATTGTCTTTAGTTTCTAGGTATAAAAGCTAAGTTTTGTAGGAGAATAAAAGTGTATTTCATAAGATAAGGAGGTCTTAGGTACCTGAAAATGTCTACTTTTCTTCATGCAGTAATTTTTTTTTGTTCTCTGCACACCTGCCTCTTGTATGCATAGACTACAGCTATAAGAAGGAAGTCCAGTAACGTGGATTGCTGCAACTTGTAGAATTTAAACTAATTCTCCTTAAAAGAACTATTTTAAATCATCATTCTTATTTTTGAGAACTTAGACTAAGCAGTAGTCAGACCTGCTTTCATCTCAACTGTAAAAACGTTCCTTCAGTTAGGAACTTGCCATTCAGTCGTCTTTTGCTTGAGCTGGTCTGCCTGAAATTTCACATTGGATTTTCCTCTCTCGTCATTACGTTAACATCAACACTCTGCAATTTGTTTGCCCCTCCACTTAGAAACTTGGAAGGTAAGTTACCAATGAGTCCCCTTCAGACCCAATGTGAGGGACCTGCATACTTAGCGTTCTCTGGCTTTGTACTTACAAGTACCCTTCAAAAAGCTAGCATACAAAGTTCAGCATCTCTGACCCATGGGACTTCTAAGATTTTTTTGTCACAAGAGGCACGATGTGACAACAGCCCTAGGGATTCCCACCTGCCGAGGTAGGACTGTAAGTGAATTGTGGAGCAGCCTGGCAAATTGAGCTCCCCAGCAGAGAGCTCTGGGGCCTACCTCTCACCCCCCTGGGAAGCTATCCCTGTCATATTATGCCAAAGAATTCCAGCCTCGGAGGACGAGGGTAGTGTGCTGCCTGATGAGGGTGAGTCGTGCCTTCCTGGGAACAACAGAATTGTAGGTGTTTCCCTACCCCCCAGAAAGTATTTCCAGCCTAGGCAATGAGCAGTCGCACAGGTCACCTCATCGCTTGTGTCCTGCTGGAAGTCGCTGTGCCTTTGGCACAACGCCGGTGTTCTCCAGACAGCGTTCACGTACGTGGTTGTTTCCACACCCCCGATGTAGAGTCTGTGCCAGTGGAATACCTGGGACACTGCACTCAGCACTAACACAGTTCTCATGGCTTATCTTGTCCAAACTCTAGCGTTGAAAATGTAGCTGTTGATAAGACTTTTTTTGGAAGCTTTTTGCTTGAGTTGTCTTTGCCTTGGTTGTTAGACTTGTGTGGCGCTAAAGGGTGGCAATGACTCTGAAAGAGGTTGGTGCATTTTAGTAATGTGCAAAATTGTTGTTTTCTGTAAAGAACTCGAGAAATGTAAACAAGCTGCTTTATCTTTGTTGTTCTTTCCCAACCCTTCTTTTGTTAGAACTGTGTTTGAAAACTCTCAAGCCTAATCCAAATATCATTGAACTACAGGGAGGGTAACAAACCATCCTATCAAGAGAGGCTGCTAAACAAAATCATTAGTTCAGTTAGCAGCTGCATGATGCTTTTGATTGTTTAATGTGTCAATTTTTTCATATATTGCTGTCAGATGTGGTAAGTCTAGTAATTAAGAAACCAAACATGTACCTTAATGCTTTCTCATGAACCAAGACTGCTGTACCCAACTTCAGTGAAAAAGATGGAGTAGCGTTAAGATTTGAAAACCTCTTGCAGTTGTACTTCTGCTGAATTGATTTCCAGTTCTACTTTTAATCAGCAAGTTTCCCAGAAGTATCTTGTGTCCTAGCTGTTCTCATTACATATGGTAACTATTCTGTTGAACACTTGCTCTTTTTTACTGTTGTTAGATCTGGGATTTATGCTTGTTAAACACCTAATTTGTTAAAGGATTTTAACTTCATGTATTACCCAAATTTTGGGTGACCAGGCAGGATACACAAATGGTGCCTAAAAAAGGCAGCACAGGAGTGTCGGTACACAGAAGGATGAGTGACAGGAAGTCTGATGTTACAGGATTTTTTAAGCAATGTGCTTTCTAACTGGTATCTCCCCAAAAGCAGATGAAAAACTACCAGCATCAGCATTTACTGATGGTTTGAAGGGCATTAACATGTCTACTTTTGCTCACATCCACAAGCAAAGGAAAAAATATACTCGGTAATTGCAACTGACAAAGCACTGATATGCAGGCCTTTATTCCCCTCTCCCTGTTTTCATTTGCCCTCAAGCACCCTTTCAGAATCACAGAATGTCAGGGGCTGGAAGGGACCTCAGAAGATCACCTTTCACGAATGCTAACACAACCCATGCCTTAACTGCCCAGCTTTTCAATCACATTAGCCTTTTGGGATCAATTTTTTCCAGGTGTACTAGAGGCTTCAGTTGCTCAGCAAAGTTCCTCATGTCATCAGAAACAACATCCTGTCCTGCCGGGGCTACCACGCTCAGCTCCACGAGGTAGGAAAGGGAGAGCGGCTCAATGCTCTCCGTGTTGCCCGGCATCAGGATGCGGAAGATCTTGTACACCACGATCTTCATGATGCCCTTGCGAAACACGTGCCCTTTGGCCACAAACTCGTGGTCCATCCGGAAGCCCATCTCCACCAGAAAGTCTGTCAGGTTGTCCGAAGTAGCAATGTCTACGCAGTTGCGCACGAGCGCGTGGCGGTTCTTGTCACCGATCTCTGGCTGGCCCAAGTAGCGCAGGTGCCAAGATATTACCCTTTTGGGATCAGTTTTTTTCAAGGTGCACTAGAGGCTTCAGTTGCTCAGCAAAGTTCCTCATGTCAATAGAAACAACATTCTGTCCTGCCGGGGCTACCATGCTCAGCTCTACGAGGTAGGAAAGGAAGAGGGGCTCAATACTCTCCATGTTTCCTGGTATTAGGATGCGGAAGATCTTGTACACCACAATCTTCATGAAGCCCTTGTGAAACACATGCCCTTTGGCCACAAACTCATGGTCCCTCTGGAAGCCCATCTCCACCAGAATGTCCGTCAAGTTGTCCGAAGTAACGATGTCTACGCAGTTGCACACCAGCGCGTGGCCGTTCTTGTCACCTATCTCTGGTTGGCCCAAGTAGCACAAACGCCAGGGCATCCCACTCTTGTCCATGGACCACTGTGCCTGCAGCATGAAGGGGCTGGCCTGCTGCCTCTTCAGGAGGAACACCATCTCGTGGTCCAGGAACGTTTCGGGCTCCATGTTGTCGCACACCCCCCACAGGCGGTGCAGCAGGCTCTCCAGGCTCTGGTCCAAAATGCTTCCTTGGAGCAGGTACTCCATTATGTTGATGGTGCCACCCGTTATGAACATCATAGTCACGGGGGGCGCCTCCATAGTACGAGCAGCACCATCCGCAATGGAGACTGAGTGGGCAGGTGGCGCCAGGAGGATACCCGAGGACTCAAAGAAGGATGGAAGAATCTCCTCCTGTCCAGCTGTATAGTTGGAAAAACTCTTCTGAATTGTAGCCAAAATCTTACAGCTTTTATACTTTAAGGATGAGATGGAAGGGGCAGAGGTATGCCTGAGGGGACTGTACTATCTAGAACATTTATCTTTAGTAGTATGATGAGATTTCCCCTTATCTCTCCCGGGCAACCTCTACTAAGTGTGTGATAACTACCACACCAGTGACTCAGCCAAATTAGCATATCTTGATACTTCATCAGATTAACATATTTCACACATACATGATTTACTGAGGCGAACTTAAAACATCTCAAGAATAGATAGTGGTTGAATAGGAGAGTCAGGGCAAAATATTTTTTATCTGCATTTTAATTCTATTCAAGTTTTGGTCCTTCGTTGTTTTATTTTTTGTTCTGGAATAACTCAGAGTTTGGTCATTTTTCACAACTGCTCTTAGGTCATCACAGTTAGGGGTCTGTTAAGGCAAGACAGAGTTGAGCTGAATTAACACCTCCCTACATCTCATCCATGTTCACCAAAACTTGTTCTGTGGTTATCAGCACATAATTTCTGCTCTCCCAAATCCTAGGAGTCAGTTAAAGCTAGGATACAATAAGGTCCTACAGGTTTCTTCAGAAATTCTGAAATAGTTCATTTGCATTGGAAAAAAAAAAAAATCAAAGGGCCTCTAGGTATCCCTTGGCTGGCTGTAATGGGAGTTGCCCTCAATGGGAGCTTCAGTCTAAACATTGAGGCTTATTTCCCCAGATCCACTGGGGAAATCTTTTCACATCAACATGACATGGAGATAGGAGACAGGCTCCTGGGAAGTTAAAAATTATTGATGCTGTTAAGCATACATGGAAATATATTATTGTATTTTTTCTTGCTAACCTTATTAACATTTTTTAAGTAAAAAACCTAATCTTTTTGTTTGCTCTTTTCACCCTAAAAAAACGCTGGATATGAGTAGTATTTCTGAATATGGCAGTGGGCCTACAGATAATAGCCTGAAGAATCAGCCATCTGATTTGGGGGAGTGAGGAGGTGGGGTTCTAGAAGCCCTGTGAAGTCTTGGCATTATGAAATGGTGTTAAAATTTAAGTCTGGGTGCTCTCTGTGATCTTGGAATCATCTTTCCAGGGGAGGATAACAGGGCAAACAGGTAGAGAGACTTCAATCTTGAAACAGTTCAAGGAGGAAAAAAAAATAATACTAATAATAAAGATGTTAAACGATACACAAATATCACACAAGTATACAGATATATTCAAATATACAACAGAATGTTAATATAGAACCTGCACATTCCAGATGGGTCCCAAGCTATGTCCCAATCATAGAAGTCTCAGACTGGACTCTACAGCAGATGGAAGCGCTTGAGCTTAGAGTCGTGATGACAATACAAAAAAAAACCCCAGAAGGATAAACCTTGGAGACGCTGTGCCACACCCCTTCGGGGAGATAGGGGAAGCTTACCTGTCCTGAGAAACAGTATTTCTCCACAGTGTGAAAACAGGAGATGAAAACACTAGCAGCCCGGGAAGAGAAGACAAACAGCTGGCAACAATCCTTTCAACACAGCAGACACAAATATCTCAGTTTGTCTTAGGAGCTGTTATAAACTGAGCACCATGGGAAGGAATATTGTGATTGGTTTATTTGGGTCATCTGTCCCATCGTCACCTCTCCGTAGGCACAGCTGCCACTGCTCCTGCCTTGTGATTGCCACCTGTGCCTGCTACCTTTTATGCTAGTGCTTTAAAACCAGAACAGGTGTCTTCCTGTGGAATTTTACACTGTGTTACATGTTTTCTCACATAATGATTAAGAACAGACTGACCCTAAGTACCACGGGAGAAGGAAACAAAGAGGCAATTCATACCTTTGAACAGCCCCCAACACTTTTCCAGATATTATTTATTCTAAGTAAAAAGGGAACACTCACAACTGAGAGTTAATTCCTTTGTGTTTAAACCAACCGTTTTAAAATGCATCCTGAAATGAGTAAGTAATGCATTTCTCACATATTTAAAAGGAAAAGAAACAGACTGAAAATGGAAGCTATTTATGAAATCTTAATTTACTTACTTAAGCCTAATTTAATTCACAACCTGCTTTATTAAATCTGATGCATTATTTTTATTCATTTCTCTATGGGGAAATATTCTGAATGGAAATTTGTGTGAAAATAAACAACTGCCTAGTTATAGCAATGTATAATTTAGGGCAGCTCTAACTGGTTTGAAGTTGAAAATGGCTCATATTTTTGAAAGTTATCCTACAACATTATATTGTTTCATGAAACTTGTGAAAATTAATTATATTCAGCTATTTAATGTAGATTGTTTATTGTAGACTAAATACCTAACTTTTCTAATAAGATTTAATAAAGTTTAAAAGTAGTACCAACCTAATCTCATTGCCTTGTAATTAATCCAACCATGCTACCAATAGATGTGCTTTTGTTCTGTAATTGGTAAACCAAACTTGCAAAAAGCTTTAGAATTTAACTGGTGTTTAACAAAATAATTGTAAGGAGTTGATTTGCTATTAATTAATTACCAACAATTAGCATGTTAATTGGCATTTATTTTACCATAGTAGTAGTTATCTAGTCAATTGCTAATTAAAATACTTAAACTATTCCTTTCAATTTATAAGAATGGAATTATGCTTTTATTACCTTCTTCCTTTCTGGGTAGGGATACAGCAAGTAGATTTATGTCCCTTATTTATTGAACCTGAGTAGTAACAACTTTAGTAGATGCGAGATACACTTTTACCAAGAGCACATTAATTATGTGAATTTGGCATCACATGTGCTCTAAAATTTACCAAAGTCTGCATTTGCTGGTGGTAATTGATATCTACTTTTGCATGCTTTTCTTTTGTCTTCTTTCCATTTGATGTGTTGTGTTTTTTTGGAAATCACATCAACACGCATGAAAAACAGAATACCACAGACTTTATATATATCATCAACATCTATTATATATCATGGAGAAAGGCAAAGTCAGAGGCAACTGGATGCAGCTCACCCAAGACTGGCCCCAACTCCTGCCCCATTGCCTCACAACCCTTCCTCTGCCTGCCCCTTGTCCTGTAGGTCCAGACTTGGCCCCAGTGGCTCAACCCAGCCACAGCCCATCCCTATGGAGGTGTCTGATACCCAGGGCTGGGGTTGCCCCAGTTCCCTCCACGTGCCCTCAACACAAGAAGGACATGGACCTGTTGGAGTAGATCCAGAAGGCCACCAAAATGATCGGAGGGCTGGAGCACCTCTCCTATGAAGACAGGCTAAGACAGTTGAGGTTGTTCAGCCTGGAGAAGAGAAGGTTCTAGAGGACACCTTACTGCAGCCTTCCAGTATTGAAGGGAATCTATAAGGAAGATGGAAGCAATCTTTTTAGCAAGGCCTCTTGCTACAGGACAAGGGACAATGGTTTTAAACTAAAAGTGTATATTTAGGAAGAAATGTTTTATAATCTGGGTGCTGAGACCCGAGAACAGGTTTCCCAGAGAGGTGGTGGAGGCCTTATCCCTGGAAACATTCAAGGTCAGGCTTGATGAGGCTCTAAGCAACCTTGTCTAGCTAAAGACATTCTTTCTCACTGCAGGAAGGTTGGACCGGGTGACCTTTAAAGATGTCTTCCAATCCAGCATATTCTATGTTTCTATAATTCTATGGTTTTAAACCTCAGCAAAAGCTCCAGAGTTGCAATCCTAAGTAGTTGGGAACATCTCTTTGCAATTCTGAGAAGAAATGTGGTATCTACACTACATGCCTGGACAGGAATTAACATTCATGTGCATCCTGAGGAAATTCTTACATGTTTATATCTAGGCATGCTGACTTTCAATGCCTTTCTCTGTGCAATGTTTTCTCTTCAGGAAGTCATTTCCAGATGGTCTCTCTTCATGCTCATGAGGTTGTGTATTACACTTTAGTAGCCATATATATGCACATAAGTGCATGAGTGTTGTAGAAAATGCATTATACCTTTCTATGTCAGCTCTGTAATTAAGTATTTTTCTTTTATATTACTAGGTTTATGCAGTATGTTCACAATCATAATAACATAACATACTCCTGAGCATTTCTCACTGAATTTGCAATCTCTCTGAATTCCTCTTTGGAGTGTGCAGGTAAAGGATAAGGAAAAAAAAGGGAAATTACTTTCTCTATATTATATACTTTCTTAAATATATATATTAAATTATAAATATGTTATTCTGAAGGAATATTTTATATTAATTGTAACAATAATTACTTTTGATCTTTCTTTGAAAA